CATTCGAATTTTTTTAAATAACAGTAATACCCCATTTCAAAATCTGTTTATAAGGGAAAAATGTCAAAGTACCTTGTTTCCCTAATAACAAATATATGAAATGCATCAGTGGTCAATTCCTCCTAAACTGACTCATCCACTCTTTAGTTCCTCAATTTTTTTTGAAAATACAGTGGAGTAGATGGAGAGAGATAGAGAAGAAGATGATCTGTATTTGACTGGATGAGGGAGTAAATTAGTCAAAATATGCATAAATCGATTCAAACATTCTTGACCGTTGAATAAAAAACACAAAAAAAGAAGAAGAAAAAAAAATGATAAAGCAAGAGTGCCATTGTTATTTCAAAATCATTTACATTATACTTTAAAATGTTAATAAACATGTAAGAAAGACGACATAAATTTTGTGGCAAATATAAATTAAATTGTATCTTAATTCCTTAAGTTTTAGCAATGTAATTAACAACGAATAGAAAAGCGAGACGGACTTAGCTGTAACGAGAGATTAAAATAGTGAGAGAAAAAAAATAGCAAATGGAATTTGTTCTCCCGAGTAAACCCACTAGCAATTTTTCGAAAAGAAAAATGTTATTTAAACATAATTTGGAGACCTAATTTAGGAATCTAATTCAATATAACTATTGAATTGATTTTAAACTCTATCTAATATTAAAACTTACAATTAATTTAATAATTATATTGAAGTCACATTATTATATCCTAAACAAGGTGTATATAGTATTGCTCTTCCGAAAAAGGGGGTAAGGAGGAAAAGGTGAGACCTGTGGTTGGGTTGGGCCTAGTAGGATGGGCTGAACCAAACATGGATCTCAACCTATTGTCTTCTTCACCTCTCTCTCTCTCGTCCATCTCCACTTTTCTCCCTCTTCCTTCCCACCAGCCAACACCCCCCCCCCCTTCTCTCTCTCTCTCTCACACACACACACACACACCCCGCAGGACCTGTAAGAAAATCCGTTAAAGTGGAAAGATGTTTTTCCATATAGTACTGGAGCGGAACATGCAGCTCCACCCACGCCACTTCGGGCGCGACCTCCGCGATAAGCTTGTGGCCAAGCTCATGAAAGACGTTGAGGGAACTTGCAGGTTACGTTTCTCAAACACCAACCCTAAAAATTGTTCAATATTGCAACTAATTGCTCAATGAAACACAACAACCCTAATCGGTAATTGTAGTGGTCGACACGGCTTTGTTGTGGCAATCACTGGCATCGAGAGCGTCGGCAAAGGCCTGATTCGCGACGGCACGGGCTTCGTCACCTTTCCGGTCAAGTATCAGTGCGTTGTGTTCCGACCTTTCAAAGGGGAGATCTCAGAAGCTGTTGTTACCATGGTCAATAAGGTTTACTGATTCAATTACTCAATCCACAAACACATAAAATTGTTGTGTATCTGTGCGTAATCATATATCAAAATTGGTGCAGATGGGTTTCTTTGCTGAAGCTGGTCCGGTTCAGATTTTTGTGTCGAATCATGTGAGCCTAATGATTTATTTACTCGTTTATTTTACTGAAATAAGTAATTCTACAACTTTGCTTTCAAATTAGGGAAATATAAACTTTAATATTCATTGAATAAGCTCATGTACTTTCCTGGGAATCTAACAAATTAATACTCAATCCTGTTTTCGAGAATTATTATTCCAAAATCCTAATTGTACATGATTGATTGCGAGGACAAGATATGAGGGATTATTTTAGTCTCAGTTGTGCCGTGCTAAGTAACGATCATTAATAAGAGAAAACCTCTGCTAAGGTAAATTGGCTCTAGTCTGTTAAAAGTTCGACATGTTTTTCATGGGTATGTGCGATATGTAATTACTGAAGTTGTCAGGGTTGTGGTTTGTATTGTTGGGCTGCATGATGAATACTCGTTTAACTGTATCAGTAATAAATCAACAGTTGACATGCTTGTAGTGTCTATGCAACTCATGGAAAATGGTGTATGAAGTGATCAGCACAGATTACAATAACTCAACCCAAGAGATCATTAGCGAGCTAGGGGTTTTGAAAAATGCGCTGTTTTAGTTGTGATACAGTAGTAATGTATTCAAGTAATGAGTTGTAGAATTTTTTTTTTATTGGCAAACAGGATTAACATGCTGCATGTCAAAGATTCAATTATCTTTTGCAGGTTGTTTCTTCAGTTTTGTAAATCCTATTTAAAGCTTTACAAACTTGGTTAATTCCTTGAAAAAGATGGCATTATCATCCTTCTGATTGTGAGTAGTAACAAAAGCATGCCTAGGTTACCATTTGGTAGCTCAAGCAGTACACTCTGTCACCTGCCTCTAACTCATTTCACAACTCCAAAAATTTTGTGCATATGAAGGTTAAACATTGCAGGAGTTTATATTATATGTTCTATGTTCAACCTAAAATCCTCATCTTTTTTTTTTTAATAGTTGATACCGGATGACATGGAGTTCCAATCTGGAGATATTCCCAATTACACAACCTCAGATGGATCAGTATGTATCAGTTCTATCTTACTGCCATTATGTAATGTATTCAGTTTTGGGTTTTGTAGATATATGCTTGACTTTTGATCTGTAGGTTAAGATTCAGAAGGACAGTGAAGTTCGGCTAAAGATTATTGGAACTCGAGTGGATGCTACAGAAATTGTATGCCTCAATTCACTCTTCTCTTTTATGTAGTGATTAAGCCGCATTCTTTTTTGTTGCTTGAATGAAACTTGAATATGTGTAGTAATTTATCTCCTATGTATTAGAGTTGAAACTTGAATCAGTTTGTGATTTAACTAGTGAAACTACCAGGGGTTAAATTCTGGGTGAAATCTGGTGATAGATGTTTTAATTACGGAGATGAGAAAGAGAGGACAACAAGAGGGACAAAATATCATTTATGATAATTTTATCTAGGGGTGTTCACCTTACCCTACCCTATAGGTAGGAAGTATGGTCTTACATCTTCCTATCCAATATTTTGGAGAAGAATTTTTTCTTAATCTACTCTACCCAATCAAGTACAATATTCCTATTCGACTTCCGTAATTAATCGGGTAGAAAATTGGGTAAACATATTTTGTAGTTATTAATTTTTGGATCATTTTAACAATTTAATTAAATAATATGCACCAATTTAACAACACAATAAACTAATAACACTAAAACCTAAAACAATTACAATAAAACACAAGAAAGCGCAAGGCATAAACATCAATCCATCATAATTGTTACACAATTACAATAACAACTATTTTAAGTTTAAACCATATGAAGCACATCAAAAATCATAACTGTTCCAATATATATATATATATACACCCCTAGTTTTATCTTACTTTAACTTGGATTAAGTTTAGGGCTTTGGAAGACTTCCTGCCTTCTCTTCGATAAAATCATAGTAAAACATGTACCAAACTAAATTTTGGGGAAAAAAGTTGGAATTAAAGAAGATTACTTATGTGATGGATCTGCTCTGAGTCTGAGGAGCTTCTGAGGAACCGCACAAAAGTGTAAAAATTATAAGCCTTTTATAATCAAAGAAATTGATTCTCCTGAAGGTAAAGAAATGGATTGATGATTAGTGTGGGGCGTTATTTTTGTCTTTTGCTTTCATTTTTTAATATGTGGTTTCTCTTTGGTTAATTATAATTGGGCATTGAAATTTTTTGGGACAATATACTGAAATTGGATTGATCAGAGTGTTATGTCCTCCTTCCCATTCCCACAAGGGCGAAGCAACATTGATGCAAATTAGTTCATATCCGAAAAATTATGGTGTCTCAACCAATATGGAGAGTCATTTATATTTTGCTATGCATCTTTTTACTTTAATTTTTACCTCCTAGAAAGTCTATTTGTTAGTTGATTGGGAATGTTTATGTCCAAATAATCAAGAATGCAAATTAATCTCATTGGCCTATCTTTTGATCTTAAAAATCTAGTTCAATGTTATGTCCTGCCATTTGAATCTGTGTTTGACATGCATGCTTATTGCAGTGTATTCTTATCCGTTGACTTCCAGGGTTTATGTCATAAAAATCTAGTTCAATTTTATCGTATATGAAGTCAAATTTCACCTGGTTCTACTGTTATACAATTGCTCACCACCAATGCACTATATTTGCTCACATGTACCTCTTAATTTGTTTTCTTCTTTCTGTTAGGATGTTCCCTCTTTAATGCGTAGCTCTTTTTCTTGCAGTTCTGCATTGGTACCATAAAGGATGATTTCTTGGGTGTGATCAGTGATCCCGGGGCAACTTCCTAATAGAATTGGTGGTGGTGTTCTTCATTCCATGGATGTCTTTGCCTAAGCTTCTATACACTCTCCCAACTTCATAGTAGAATTGTTGATGGTACTGTTTTTGGTCGACATTACTTATAAGGCTGTTTTACCCTTAAGAATCTCACTGGCCCATCTTTGGATGTTGGAATTCTGGTTCAATTTCAAGTGCAACCATTAGACATAGACAAGGCCATGGAACTAATGCAATTCATACCTTTACTTTTCTGCAACTACAATCGGGCATGCAGCTCCCATGCATATAATTGTTCAAAGTGCAAACGATATGATGAGACTAATCGGCAGTAACATTAATCTCAGCTGTCATGCTTCAGTACATAATTATAACTCAAAAAAGTAATGTATTCTTTGTTAATGTGTTTTATGTATTTTTTAAAAATAATTTGCTTAAAAAAGTAAAAACATAATTTATTACTCTTTTACCAAATTTATGTATGCATTATTGGTACTCATGCAAATGTGTATTATAACACATGCGACAAAAGCAGCAACCCCAAACAATGATAAATAAAAAATGCAATACAATTTTTTTTTTAAATAAAAATATACTTCAAAAATAAAAAAAATAAAACCTAAAATGTTATCAAACAGTGTATAATCAATCATATTATCTATACAACTTTCTGTGACAGTATAACAATGCCTGTGATGAAATCTACCACCCAATAGTTTTGGTAACATAAATCTTCCCCAAAAATTTCCCATCTTCACTGCACAGTCAAAGAGCCATCTTGCTTCAACTTCAGAAGACCGGTCTCAATATTTCGAAGCACAGGCTTGTAGCTGCAATGTATTAAACCGCAATTTAGTAATTGAAAAGAAAAGGTAAGAAGGATGTCTTGCAAAATATAAACAAAGAAACTTAACCCAATCACACATATAAACCGACATCACCCAAAAAAACTAACCAACGGAATAAAAAATTTAAGAAATATACAGGCGCGCAAGACTGCTGTACGCTTGTGTGGCTTGCTGAAGCCTCACTGAGAGCTGCAAGACCTCTGCTGACAGTGCCTCTGTTCTGCTCTGTTCTTTAGCAAGCTGACCCTATACACAAGACAAGGCAAGCAAAATAACTACATAATATACCCTGTTTTTAACTCCTAAGTATAACACTTGATCAGGCTCTTAACTGTTCATCACTGTGTAAATAAAATTGGACTATCCTTTGCAACAAAAAGATCAATGCATAGAGACAAAAAACAAAACTTATCACCCCACAGCCCATGACTAACCTTAAGGGAGACAATTTCACCTGTATGTGCCAAGGGCTCACTCCCTTTGCTGGATTCCAATAAACCTTCCTGAATTCCCTTATCATTCAGAGTTTGCAGACTAGTCTGTTCTGTTCTCAACTTATCTAACATGCCACGAAGCTCCTCATTTTGCTTGAGGCAATCTTTCACCTGCATACACATCACAAAATTATTAAATAGGAAAAAAAATGGCGAAACTAATATGATATGCATAACTCTCTAGGACAGGAAAATGGATGGTTACATGATTTATGCCAACTAGAGGTTTAACGCTAGAATGTTCCACGAAACCAAAGTGCAAACTGGAGTGTCAACATCCATATGAAAACGTATAAAAAGGAGGAAAAGTGGTTGTTGGGTAAAATATGTCCTTGGACACTTATAGCTGGAAATGTGACCAGTCTGCAACCATCTTTCTTTCAAGGGCATGGAAGAGAAATAATACAGCTAATTCACTGATTCTCAAGGACTGTCAAAGATTAGCTAGCCTTTTTATATAGCAGAAACCGCGGGTGCTAAAAGTAAAAACTAAAGACCCAGGGTTCCAGAGACAACAATTGTTCTACGAAAATGCAACTTTTCTCCTCCAAGTCTTGTTCTACTTTCAGGACAATGATCTGTTCAGTAGACTCACAGTCATAGTTGCTTTACCGCTGTTATGCAAACTTTTATGCGATACCTCAAGCCATATAAGACATGGACAATATTTGTTACTCCTCTGATGGTTTAAACTATCAAATTGGAACCAAATTCAAGATAATGATCCTTCATCAATACACATGGTCACCGAGGTACCTGATTCTCCCAGTGAGCCACTACACCAATTGCGTCTTGATAAGCTGATGATAGATTAGAATTTTCCTCAAATAGCCTCTCTATCTCCGAAGATTGGGAATCAATCTGTAAACAAGATAAAGAAATAAGGTAAGTTTCCAGTTTCAGGTTACATTAATAATAAAAAAGAAAATA